AATAGGGTAAATATTGTAACTAACAGATATCATCATACTTATCCAGCTCAGCTATTTGATTGCATTAAGAATTGCAAACTTTTTGTATTAAAAGTTTCCTAAAATGTTGTTTGAATATGCAAATGAAGAATTAATTAAATATGCACTAATTTACAGAAATTTCCAGCCGGTTCAAAATTCTTGTTTCATTTTGTTGTCATATTAGAGTCAGTGGTTTTTACAATTAATCAATCAATCAGTAAATCAATTTATTCCCAACATTTTGGGGGCGAATAAAATGTATAAATTCAAGCTAATTATGTATGAACACACTTTCAGAATATTGATAAAACAGTCAAGTGTGATGGTTTTGGAGATTTTGGCTCAGTACATGAAAAATAAAATAAAATAAGCACTTAAAATAATAAAATAAACACTTGAAGGAATATTTCACCCATAAATAAAAATTGGCTGAACATTTACTCACCTTCAAGCCATCAGAGATGTGCATGATTTTGGATAACACTTTAATTCAAGGTGTCCTTGTTACACGTTACATGTACTTACTATTGTAATAGCAATAAATTATGCATAATTACATGCAAGTAACCCTAAATCAAACCCTAATCCTAACCCTAACCATATAGTAAGTACATGTAGTTAATTAATATTATTCAGTACTTAAATGTATGATTATACTGTAACAAAGACACCTTAAATTAAAGTGTAACCTGAGTTTGTTTCTTCATCAGAACAGATTTGGAGAAATGTAGCATTGCATCACTTGCTCACTAGTGGATCCTCTGCAGTGAATGGGTGCCGTCAGAATGAGAGTCCAAACAGCTGATAAAAACATCCCAATAATCCACAAGTAATCCACAACACATCAATTAATGTCTTGTGAAGTGAAAAGCTGTGTGTTTGTAAGAAACCACTCCAGTACAAACTTATTTACATCTTGGATGGCCTGAGGGTTTTCAGCCAATTTTATATATTATTGAACCACTTATATATTTGGATAAAAGCATCTGCTAAATGATGAAATGTAAATGTACATTGTGTGCTATTCCTTGAAACATATATTTTAGATGTTTTATTTCCACTTGTCTGAAACAACACGTTATGAAAAGCCAAACAACCCAAAATCACAAAATTGGTATGAAAAACCATGTTTTTACCTTTAGTGTCCTGCCTTAAACTCGAGTGTCCTCTTGTGAAGCTGAAGAAGCTGCACGTTTCATAAGTGATGACCCATTTCATGTGTACTTTCTGAACTTTTTGTGCACTCATCTGAAACAATGCAATGACCCAAATCCCTGCAGTTCAATGTTGATGAATAATGTGTACTCAGTTATTTGCAGGCTGCGACTTGCCAATAGTATTTGTGGAAAGAATGCTAAACAAAGCATTACTACTTTGGGTATCATATTGCATGAATAATAAATCAATTTCAACACAAATGGTATAAATATTCCTCATTCCTCGCACGCATAATGCAACATCATAAACACATATGTGGAGGTACTATATACTAGCCACGCATTTGCATTTTAGATTCATTATCCTACTCATTAAATGCAGCGGTGTATCTAACAAGTATGCGGCACAGATGATTCATGATTTGCAAACTGACCAAATAATAGGGAAACTCATCCTCTGTGAAATGAGAGATAGGTGTGGCCTGAGGGAAAATCTACAGCCGACCAATTGCAAAGCAACTGTTATGTTGGCTGGCAAGACAGAGGTGCCATTCCAAACTCTGATTGGCAAGATCCAGGAGCAGATGGTGGAGGGATGGCATCCAAAACTGGCACCCAGAACACAGCATGGCTCTTCGACAAAAACAGCAAAGTCCGTAAAAGTGTAAGGCAAAAGAAAGGCTTCACGGAGATCCGGAAAACTGGGCTGCTTTATTGTTAGCACAGAACGTAATTGTATAAAATATATGACATTAAACACAGTAATATCAAATTAACTACTTGTTTTGACATCCTATTTGTATAGTTAATTTGATTGAGAAAAGTAGAGGCAGTATTATCGTATGAAGTGGTCGTTGGTTTTCCTGTTTGAGTTCTTTTGGCTGTGTTGATATCAGCGAAATGTATTGCGTGTAACTTTCACACGCTATAATAAGGGCCACACATGGCCTCAGACGAAACCTCAACGCTTCTGGGAAAAACCAAATGTTGTTTCCCTGTTTTTAATTGCTACTTCAGTAGATTTGTCTCTTTGTTTTGCGTTTCTTCTCTAAATCATGCTCCAGACATGTTTACTTGTTAAACATACTGGGATTTGCTTCGTGATCGTAACACTTTTGGAGCGGGAATCGGATTGAACTGACAAATGATTCAGCTGTGGAGACGTCTCCCTTTAGGTTGCCTGAGCTTTTACTCAGGTTTGATGTTGAGTTTGAGCAAAGACTTCAAGCTCAAGACAGAAAGTCACTGAGAAAAGGGCTTTAAATCATGGGGCTTTATCCTGGCAAGTAATTTGACAAAGCTTCTAGGGAAAAACACTGAATGAAATGACTGAATAGAGCCCAACAACAAAATGAAAAGTGTATCCTCGGCAGACAAGAGTGGGATTCCCGTACTGCTATTAAACATGATTGTGTGTATTTGTATTTTGCAGGGACATATATATTTCAACATCTGCTTTCTCTGTTTTTACGAAAGTGGAGAATGTATTAGAAAATAAAGTATTTAAGTCACATTGGAACTTTAAATCAATATACTCAGACTTGACTGCGGTGTCAGAGAGTTGTCCAAAAAAGATTCAAAAGTGCAGGGAAAAAATGCTTATACTATAAAAAGGTTTACATAAGTCTGACAGCTTATATCATATCCAGTGTGGAAAAGGGACCAGTGGAGAAAAATAATGAAATAAAAGTTATCAACTGGAGAAAGTAATATAATTGTCAGCAATCACTGTTCCTGTAATATTCCATTTTCTAATCTGATTGTATTCCTTTTAAAGTATTAAATTGCTCTGAAAAATAAATGTAATAAAATCATTTTTCACCACAAGTAAGAGCAGGCAGGGATTAAATATCCTGCGGCTGTTTCAGATGTGGAAAAAACATTTAATATAAATGTATGCTTGTAAAAACGTTCAATCAGACATTAAGCATCTATTGATCGTGATGTTAAAGTGAATACTTTTAGACTCAGTTTGTCGATGAAAAGATTCAATTGTTACAAACAAAAGCAGTATATTTCACAGCTGAAATGTGTTGCATTGACATTGAGAGGCTCTAATTATTTCATAATATTCATGTCTTAGGCATGCTTAATGATGTGCAATGGCATATAAGGTGTTTTTTTGTACAAAGCTGACTATTGCTATTTTAAAAATAGCAAGAGCTAGCAACTGTAGAGCTGTTCTGATTTATATAATAATTTATTTTATTAGTTTTATCTTTTGAGGCTTTTAATGGAAATAAACATTATTTCTTCACTATTTAATTCTGTTACCATGATTTAGTGAGGAACAATCAACTTAAAATGTACTTAAAATTACATTGTTAAATAAAAATAGAATTAATAAAAAAAGTAACAAAAATATTTTTTTTTCTAATTGCAAAGTGTTTTAAATATAACCTTTTTCTTTTTAATGAATGTATTGACCTCTAATGTTAAAAAAAAAACATATTGCAATAGTTATGGCTCCATTTTACAGGTTCAATAAATTTAAAATCCCCCCAATCCACTTTATTCATCTCCTGTGAGTGTTTTTTATCGGAGCTTAAGTGATGTTTACTTCCTTTCTAAGTGTCTCTTGAAAGTTGTTCCAGTCGGTTTATGAATGTTGTCTGTCCCAGGCTCGATCAGCCCCTACAGGCCGGCTCTCCACCCAACAGCTGCTTAGACTGGTTTAAAAGGCCTAATATGACAGCATGCAGCCTACGTACAGAAAAATGAATATTAATGCAGTCAATGTCTGAGAGCTACTTGCTCATTCTGATGACAGTGCAGTTTTTGTGAATTAAATGAGAAAATAAAAGATTCCAGGAACTCAACAAATAACAGAGTGAACATGGGTAATATTTAACATTATTGTCAAGCTACATAAATATTACAATTGTGATGAATAGTTTCATCGTTGTGGTATAAAAGCATATTTGTGCCCATCCATTTCTCTTATAGATGGTCAAATCTATGCTCAATATTGTGTTTTAGAGTTTCTTTCTTTCTTTCTTTTTATAGCACTTTTTTGTTTTTATAATGTAATATTAATTACGCAGCAATTAAACATGCATTTTCAATTTTAGTGTGCAGTTTGTTTGTTTATTACTGCGTAACACAAAGTGTGTTTGCAATTAGCTCACCAAAATAGCTTCAGTATGCTGGGTTAAAAAATGCTGGGTTAAATACAACCCAGTGCTGGGTAAAATAGGGACAAACCCAGCAATTGTTTTTTTTTGACCCAGCGGTTGGGTTACTACACTAAAGGTTGGGTTAAACATTTAACCCAACCTCTGGGTCAAAACAGTCCAATTGCTGGGTTTGTCCCTATTTTACCCAGCACTGGGTTGTATTTAACCCAGCATTTTTTAGAGTGTAGTATAATTTAGTTCTTGTACGCCGGACAGTGTAAGTTTAACTATAACATTTATTTGCCCAAGCAAAACCATGTGTTTATTCTTCCAGCTGTAGCTCAGGCTTTCTTGATGTGACAAATGTGCAGAGCTTAGTGCTGTTTTTTAGGCAAAGGAAGTGCATAAATTCTGCTATGTGATGTATAGTAACTGGAATTTGATGAGCTGCCTCGTGTGTTTTTCGTCTTTCCTTCAGTTTCCGAGAGATGACATGACCTCTGTTGAACCTGCTGGTCTAATAAACGGCGCTGTCTGGTGTGTAGGACCCAGCGAAAAAGGGAAGCTCCCGGTGAGAACTGAGGAGAGAGAGAGAGAGCGAGAGAGAGCGAGAGAGAGAGAGAGAGAGAGAGAGAGAGAGAGAGAGAGAGAGAGAGAGAGAGACGGAGACTCCTCCTCGTCTCCGGTGTCAAACTTGACATCAGCCTCTGAGCCGAGAATGGTAACTTGTGTCGGAACTGAAGCCCTCACATGAGTGGCATGCTTCATGGAGTTATGTACCTTGCTTTGCCCCCTCAACAGCTATCATGGATTGCAAAACCTTAATACTTTTCCTGTTTCTCTTCACGTTTATTTCCAGCGCAGAATTCATTATTCATCCGTCCAATGAAGGTAAGATAACGTCTGGAGTGCGAGACATAGGCTATTCTACCTCATCTCTGCTTCTGTAGCCTGTGATAGACTCTGTCTGTACAATTGACTTGCGCTGGACCAGACAGGGTTTTTATTCTGCTCGGCTTTGACAGGGGAAATGACATCGAAGTGAATAGTTACCTGCTTTACCTCCTAAAGCTCATCCGATAAGCCACGGCGAGTTCGATTATATTGGTTAAACGCTCGCTCGTTCACTTTATATCAGAGCTGCTGCTCCAAATGAACCGAATCAATAATATCGCAGTTCTGCGTGAGACGCATTGAATTGCTTGCGCGAGAAATAAGCTAGATAGAAAGATGCCGCTGCAAATTCAACTTTTAGTGCTGTTTATTATTGTTTGTTAAGGTTACTTGAGCTGCGTGATAAAAGCATGTTTTTGAAACGATCGATCAGTTGGGAAAGCACGAACGCGCAACGACTGAGCGCGAAATCCAGTCCGAAAATCAACTGGTCATACCGCATAATCTTAAACTAGGTTATATATGTAAAGGCTCTTTGTGCATTTGATGCATTTTTAATTTGTTTCATAATTAAGAAATTGCTTAAATTATTTTGTGGTTATCTTGTATGGAGAGTAGTTATAGCTAAGGCATATTTACATGCGCTGTAAGTTTGTGCGCCGAGTTTATTCAGTTGCACTGCGCTTTTGTTGTAATACGTGAAATACTTCAACTTATTGGATGTACTTTGCTTCAAATGCGCCCTTTGGGTAAGCAGGTTACAATCGGCTGTCTGACACATATTCAAATATCCAATATTCTTCTTTATTATAATTGTATTTATTTATTTATTTATTTATTTTAACTTAAAGCACACGTTGATATGAACGTAAAGCATAGACATAGAAGTGTTTATATTTACTGTTATAAGCTGCGGTTGATTTTATGAATATCACTCAAAAATAACAGGTTACATTCGAGTTCATTGTTGCCGACGTTATTCCAGTTGTCTAATGCTAATCACACGATTAGTTATTAACTTAAATATATTTGCACGTGTGTTTTTAAATTTCCAATCACATACGAGCTATTGGATAATCTGTACAACTACAAGTAAAGGCCTACAAACTGATGCAATTTCAAATAAAGTGATCAAGTGACAGTACAATCGTTTTCAAAGTCAATAACTTTAAAAACCTAAGCATATCAACTCTTGAAGCCAGCAAAGTTAGGTACAGATGCACTCTATACATTTTTTTTTAACATGACAGTTGTTATTTCTAGGACACTGTATTTGTATTTGTATTTTGACATCTAAACGTCCTTTGTGAAGCACTTTAAAAAGCGGCGGGGTCGAGATGTAGAGGCCTAAATAAGGGGTGTGTTTTATTTATTTTTATATTTGCTTTATATGCGTGTTCGCCCCGTTTTTATGTATCTTATGAATATCCCTAACTGTTTTGTTCACAGTGCATTGTCTGACCCGTTCAGAGCTATAAAGTATGTTTCTATAGTCGCTCGGGGTGAAACAAAAAAGAGAGACATGAGACTTTTTGTGTAGCCTATAGCCCATCTATAGAAGTTTCCGTCAGTATTGTCACATATTCGATACATAGACCTGTTCATTAGCATTCCCAGATCTTCAGGTGCTCTTATAGCCTATATTTGGCCTAAACATTCGTTCATCTCATTCAGTATAGCCTAGGCTACTATTATACAAAAGATGGAAAGACTCGTTTAGTGGTGTGACTTTATGTTCGCAATGAAACACATTCAGGTCAATTTGCTATTATTGGCTTTAGAATTGATATTTTTGTATCAGAGTGTAGCTCTTTGTGGAAAGATGTGTTTTTAATGCTGTCAACACAAAGGTGGACGATCTTTCTGATGTTTCACGACGTTTTAATTGTCTCTCTTACTATGATTTATGGGCTGTGGATTACCTTTTGCTGATAAAAGTATGTAATGGGACGTGGTTTTCACCAGAGAGTGTCAGTATAGAGCCGCAGCTATTGATATCATTTGGAGCAAAGTGCTTTCTTACAGCTTGCTGTCGCCTAATCAGCTCAGCTGTGGTGTTTATAATATCCTAACGTGATCTGAATTAATAAACATAGTAGGTTTATTTTTTTTATTAACTAATATTGGACGTGTTAAGCGTTAGAGGCCAGTTTGATGACCTTTAGGTAATCGCGGCTCACCTCCCGAAATGCATGCATTGACGCATCGTCTGCCTCGATTGAATTATGAATTGATTAAAAACGTAGTAGTTCAACTATACATTTCAAGTTCACATCAACCCCCTTTCTTAGAATAATGCATGTACACAACGAGCATTACTTCAGAAAAAAAAAATCTTATGAGACTCATAAATCCTTTCAGAACCAAATATGTGACTGAAAAGTTATAGCCTATGTCGATGCGAAGCGAGACTGAGTAGCCTAGCCTATTCCCCCCTTTTTTCAGGAAATAAACTCTAGTGGAGTTTGAAACGTATTCATCTGTATTTATTTATTTCATTTTAATAATATTTCATCACAACTTTTCTTGGTTAACAAATCCCATGGACCTGATTCTTGACCTGATTTACCGATTTACTACATGGGCCGTGCACTTTAACCCTTAACATCAGGTCGTAAAATAGGAATAATAATAATCAAAACTTTAAAGTAAAGCTTTATTGCATTGTAATGTATTTTAATGACCAAATCCTTGTGGAGCGCACCTCATTGCGACCTCATTCGTGTCGGTCACGGTGTGTGTTATTAGCATATGCGTGTTTAAAGATAGAGGATCAAATATATGCGTATAAACACGTTACTATGTCAGTTTAATTTAATTGAGCAAAATTAAGCATTCAAATACAGTTTAAAAGCTACAGCTGGCGTTTTATTTTTTTTATAAACGATTAAAAAGTTGGGGAACAATTGAAGTACTGAAAACTCTAGGCTACTTAACCATAGCCTACAACATCTAAAAAAAACAAACAACAACAAAAAAAAAAACCTACTTGTACTACTACTACTACTACTACTAAATAAATAAATATTGATTGGCTGATCAGTTGACCTCTGTAATTTAGGTATGTATTTTCTGTTCTGAATATCCAAGCAGCACAGTAATAGTCTAAAAATATTCTTGACTATTTTTACTGCGTTTATCGTATAGGCTGTGTTTGAAAACAACACAGTAACTTGAGGCCTACTTACACTGTCCTGTAGAAGCACACAGCATGAAATCTCACTTCTTTTTTTCTCTCACAACAAAGTCTTGTTTATCTTTTTTTCTCTCTTGGGTAATTTATTATTTTCCTCGTTTTTGAAATACAAATTATGTTCTGTTGCGACTGCTAATTGTAAATGGGGAAATACAGTTTAAAAGCTACAGCTGGCGTTTTATTTTTTTTATTTTTTTTATAAACGATTAAAAAGTTGGGGAACAATTGAAGTACTGAAAACTCTAGGCTACTTAACCATAGGCTACAACATCTAAAAAAAACAAACAACAACAAAAAAAACCTACTTGTACTACTACTACTACTACTACTAAATAAATAAATATTGATTGGCTGATCAGTTGACCTCTGTAATTTAGGTATGTATTTTCTGTTCTGAATATCCAAGCAGCACAGTAATAGTCTAAAAATATTCTTGACTATTTTTACTGCGTTTATCGTATAGGCTGTGTTTGAAAACAACACAGTAACTTGAGGCCTACTTACACTGTCCTGTAGAAGCACACAGCATGAAATCTCACTTCTTTTTTTCTCTCACAACAAAGTCTTGTTTATCTTTTTTTCTCTCTTGGGTAATTTATTATTTTCCTCGTTTTTGAAATACAAATTATGTTCTGTTGCGACTGCTAATTGTAAATGGGATTTTTTTGTTCCTCCTTAAAATATACAAATTAAACGTCACTGATTTAAAGTTTATTTAATAAACAGTGGCAATTTTCTTAATCAGTAGCAGAGGGTTTTAATGCCATTATCTTTTATTTTTTTAATAAACGACACATGGCAGGAAAAAAACCCGGAATTGATATCTTCTTTTTTTTTTGGATCTGGGCACACTGCCTAGTGAAACATACTTCTGTTTAAAGAAGCAAATTAATTTCTCTGCCATTTAGCCTGGCCTATGTGAGTCACGTTTGTGGTGGGTAAACCTTTGGGAGCAGTCTAGTGTAATGCATATCGCCTATCCTGTCGTCCGTATAGGCTACTCACGACAGTTTTCCGAGCATGTGGGATTACAGCGAACAGTTGACCACATCCTTACACGCCGATTTCAACTAAAACAACACTGAAATATCTCAGGAAATCTTCCCAAAGCCCATCAGCATCAGCTCCAGAATAGAGCATCTGCCAAAAACATAAATACAGACGTAAACGAATCATCCAACACAACTACGTTCCTAAGGTTTCCATTTTCTAACTTGTGGCCAAGATGGCGCAGTACGCAAGCCACAGCGCTCCTCTCGCTCAGACTACGACATGGTGTGGTGTGATGTCACGGTGCACTAGTTTCCAGACGGGACGGCTCATGTTTTTAGACGTTTGGAAATTTGCTTGCACATACAATCGCATCCAATGCATACCGTATCATCAAAATAACCGTAACGTGTGTGGTTGTGCTGATGGGTGGATTTTGGACGGAGATGGTGGACAGAAAAGCTGCAAGCATTCAGAGGGGCTGAGGCAGACACCCTGAGACTCGACTGAATTATTCATGGCGTAGAGGTTAATACTTCATTGCCATCGCGCCACTATGGGCGGAAGCTTCGATCAAGCTGCAGGACTTGCAATTTGCTATTGTTTTTCCATGTGTTTATTTTTGGTTTTTCGGATAGTTGAGTTGGGGAATTAGTAAACGCAAGAGCGCCAAATCCTGACAGCTCTTGAATCGAAAACCCAAAATGTGGTTTGACTTGTAAGGAAGCCATAAATCATAAGACTTACAAGTACTGACCTCTTGTTTTTGGACTCCGTGGCGACCCTTGGTGAAGGTATAGACCAGCTGCAG